AAAGAGAATAATAGAAAATTATATTTTGTATAGTGGAATCATTTTTCTTACATGTTAGTTATCATTGCCTTGGGTGTTCTTCCAAAGTCAAAATGACCCAACTCCCAGATTCGAAGCTACTCCATAAATGCTGTTTTTCAGTTACAGTTTCCTCTGTGCTGATTTTCCTCTTTCTGCTGTCTGCGCTTTCATTCATCTCCCGCACAGCTGTGTTAGAAAAACCCCTTGAGAAGAAAGCAGGGCGCAACTACGGCCCCCCAGGCAGCAGAAGACTGATCTACTTCATAGACGACATGAACATGCCTGAGGTGGATGCATATGGCACGGTTCAGCCTCACACACTAATACGCCAACACATGGACTACAACCACTGGTGAGGCGCTGTCATTTATCACGTAGCCGTGCACACATGTATGGGAGAGAATATACACGTGCTGTTTGAAGGAGCAACATTATACTTATAGGTTGTGCTGTCAGAGGTGATTTTCAGAAAATGCTACATCAGCACCGCTTTAATTGCTCAAATGATGGACAGTTTTGACAATTTCTCCCTGTATTAACAGATAAAAGGATCATTCAGATAATTGAGTGCCAGCAGCTGATAGCTGTGAAATGTTAATAATTCGCAGCCTTCCTCTGAAAACGCCCTCATTTTAGTATTCACAGAAATCCCTGCCTTAGTATCAATATGCTACAACTTTTATGAGTGTCAAAAGTCAAATGTGGGAGCAGGCTTGTGTGATTCGCCTTAAAAGGATTGTGTTGCTCATCTCTCTGACACAGTGAAGCCATTCTGAACATGGTTCCACTGCGTCAGACACAGGCTAACTGGCTTAGACACGGTCAGCCCATTAGAGATATGCTAGGAGGATTTCAGGTATGAAATTTAGAGGAAGGAGGATGCTGCTGTGCCACGCCAGCTTAAGTGGGAGCTGAGGCGTCCATATCTGCAAAAGTGTGTGTGTGTGGGTGTGTGTGTGTGTGTATTAGAGACAGGGGGCATGAGTATTTTTCTGCATGCAAGACTGTTAAAGAGTGATTTTTTTCTGCATGTGTGTGTGGACTCCCAGGTATGAGCGTAATAAGCTGCTTCTGAAGGAAATACACAACGTTCAATACGTGTCCTGCATGAACCCCACAGCTGGCAGCTTCACCATAAATCCACGGTTGCAGGTACACACACACACACACACACATTCGGCCTCCCAGCACGCTGTGATGGTTATGCAACTCACTGCTGAGGTTTCACGTGCACTACATCTCACACGTTATCAGTTTTTCTTTAAATTTGCTTTCTGCGTTTGAATTCAGAACCATTATCGACAAGTTTAGCAGATGTGAATTTAGCCCAGTCCTAAACCATTTTCACTGACCTTTACTTTTAGTCTAGGACTAAGCTTCATCTAAATATGCTGTTTTACAGTCATTTATTTCTTCCTTGTGAATTTGCCAAATTGTTTGTTTCTCTCTTTGTTAATTTGTCTGTTCATTCATGCAGAGTTGATTCGATTTTGACAAAACTTTCAGGAAGCGTTAACTCCATCATTTCTCAACATTATAATTCAGCATTTAGAAAATTAGACTGGTTTGCCTGAGGGTGGTGCCGCATTTATTCTTGCTTATTTGTGTGGCTTTGCGTTATCACACACACAACTAATCTAATGTAAGAAATTAGAAAAGAAAATAGCACAATATACATTCATGTGGCTTTCTGCCGTACAGAGGGGCTACGCTGCAGAAGATCGCAGGGTCAGAGTTAAAGAAGTTGCAAACAACTTCTGCAAATATATAGTATTAGAAACATAACAAGCCAGTGTGCAGCATGATGAGGACGTTGTAATGTGATATTACACGTCACCACTCAGTACTGATTCACAGATACAGCAGAAGTGTTGTTTGGTATTTTTAATATACAATACAGAGAAAAGATGTGGGTAATTTTAAAAACCGTATCATCACAGAGTTTTTCCAGCAGAGCAGCTCCAATTCCATTATTTACAGTATATCCAGCCAGCGTTTCTATTACATGCTTTGCTGTGATGTCTGGTTTATCCAGCCCTGTCTCCAACAAATGTAGCAGAGCAACATCACAGCTGGGTCACATCAAGCTGCTAGTTTTTAAAATACATTGGTTTCAGTCTAAAGTAAAAGAAAGTGTACACCCCATTCAGTAGCTTAGGTGCAGTAATAATGTTCTGTATAACTTTATTAATGGCATCGTTATGGCGAAATGTTTGTTTATTGAGGTCCCACCGACTGATTCCACATGGATTAAGGTGTAGGCTTGACTGGGCCACTGCAACACCTTGCTTCTATTTTGGCTTCTCTTTTGTTAATTTGCTGGTGTGCTTGGGTTCATTGTTTG